TTGGGTTTTTTTTTAATTATTTAAATATTTGAATTGATGAACCTTAACAAAGATAGCAGTATCTTTGTACTTCTACATCCTCCTTAGCAGTGGTGGGATTCAATTTTTTTTACTACCGGTTCTGTGGGTGTGGCTTGGTGGGCATGGCAGGGGAAAGTTACTGCAAAATCCCCATTCCCTCCCTATCCCACTAACCTGCTTTCCAGCGCCGTTCTCCTGTTCAGGGCAACCAAAGAAGACCCAGATGATTCAGCTGAGACTCCGGTAGCAGAGAATAGATGGGGTGGGGCCAGTCAGAGGTGGTATTTGCAGGTTCTCCTAATTACTCAAAATCTCTGCTACTGGTTCTCCAGAACTGGTCATAACCTGCTGAATACCACCTTTTCCCCTAGCTAGCATGTAATATCTGCATTTCTCTAAACCAATTTCATTTCAATTTCATTGATGGCCACATCAGGGCAACTGAGGGGGGCATGGCCAGCTTGACGCCACTCCCCAAACTTCTGGCTTGTTTCCTCTTCGCACTGGGTAGACCAGGCCGAAGCCATGTTGGCCTGATGGGTTCCAGCACAAGCCCAAAAGTTTATTGAAATTAGCTCTCTTAAAGTACAAGACTCTAGTTTGATTTTGTTCTATTGCTTGTCCTTGCATAATGTTGAATTCCAATATTGCATGATCACTCCCCCGCACAAAGTTCCTGAAGCTTCAACACCTTCTATCATTTCATCTCTGTTAAATTAACTCCAATATGGCTGATTCTCTAGTTCCTTTCTCTACTCATTTCTCAAATGCTTTCTTTGGTTTTCCACAAACCTTCTCGGGTGAAGCATTTTCTAAGAGATGACAAGTCTTTCTTGGCTGATTCCAAGGCAGTACGAAGCACAGGAGGGATGTTCCTGGAAGAAAAATGTGATTGTTCCAGTTTTGTTTCCTAACTAGTTATATGATAATTCGTTTAAGCATGCAAGGCTAGCTTTTGCATCAATGGTAATTTAAATATGCAGGTATTCTAGCTCAAAAAGCTACAAAGCTCTTCTTTCATGAGAGAAACAGCTGGTTTATCGTGTCTCAATCACCACCTTATAGCCCCTGTACATTCAACAGCTATATTGCATGCAGACATTCCCTTAATGTAGATTTTCCCCTCACTTAAAAATCAAAGAACGGATTATCAAAGTTTGTCCTATAGATATTAATAGCAGCAGAAAAGGGTTTAAAGGTAATAGTTGAGAGTAGGTTAAGCATTACATTGAGCAAGGATTTTCTTAAATGTGAGGTTTGCACAACATGCTATGTCAAGCCAAACCATTTATGATGATCCATAAAGTTGGTTATCCTAAAGAAAAACTATTTTAAGAAAAAAAAACTGGTGTTTGTTAGGATTAAGCCTACTAGAGTCTCTCATACAATAACGTCCTTTTTGAGTGAAACAGAAAAACAAAAGAAATCATGACATGTATGGATTTGATATTAGTAAAATTCATAGATCAAAAATGGAGATACTGCATTTCTTGAGCAAGAGTTGAACATAAATGTTATTTACATCTGCTAAAACGCAAGTTGGAAGTCACTCTTTTTTAAATGCATTTTCTTTCTATATTTTTTTATTTTATTGTGCCTCTATCTGCTATTTCTCTCTATTGTGACTTCTTTTCCATTCTTTGACTATTAATTTTCTGTCATTTTTAAAACAAAACTCAATAAAGTTGTTTTATTTTTTTAAAAAAATCAAACCACACACTTCTCCAGCATTCTGTTCAACAACCCAGATTACTCCACATTACATAAAAACAATATTAACTGGTTCATTGTCCCTTTCAAATGCTCACTTTCTGACAAAATATATCTCCCCCCACCCCAAAGGAGAAATTTAAAAAGCAATTTAAAAAGCAGGAAATTGTGGCTAATTAAGAAGCCAACATAACACCGGTGTTTCTGGTCACATGACTTTATTTAGCCCTGCCCCCAGAATTCTAGTAGCAGAGAGGAATAAGTTTGATTTTCAGAGCTTGATGTGGCGTTTTGTGGGGTTATTTTGGGCCTGTTGATTAATGCTTAAGAAAAAAATGAGAAAGAGTTTCCATTGAATGTTCCTGGGGGTATGATATTGAGAGAACTTCAAAATCCTCATTTTTATGCTGTATTTCTTGCAGTTTAAAGCCCAGCATTTGTCTGTCTGTGCAGGAAAGTTAGCGGAGTTGAGCCAAGAAATCCTGGTGGAATATTTGTTTGTTTGTTTTTTTAAAGTGCATTGCTGCCATTGTGAACTCGGTATGATCTTTTACATTAGCTGTTCAAAACTAGCAAGGAGGTTCCTTTTTTAAAATGTATTTTGGCCTATATGTTTTGGTTCCTGATAATTCATTGCAGATTACTCCTGTTTGGAGGAAATTGTTGACATGTAGGTTGTGTACATCAGCTGGTGCAGAAAGCTGATATTTGTTACTTCAGCTCTTTTTTCCTTTTTTTTACTTCTGCCAAGGAAAGCTGCTGAATTGGACTTCCTTTCAAATTATCTAGAAAGAAAATTCATGTGCAGGCGATATTAGTTTTGGGGACAACAGTCTCCTAGGTGGGAAGGCCAGCACATGTATGCAACAATTTAATTTATATTTTGGAGTAAATGAAATAATGAAGGAATGCCTTCTAAAGCAGTGGTCATCAACCTTTGGAGACTTCTCCCATTTTTCACCAGTATGGGAGAAAGTGGGCTATATCAAAATAAAAAGTCAGCATTTTTCAAGATGGGTAATTCTATCCTTACTGCAGATTCTGTTCCTATATTTATGTCCAATTTTTTATTGGTTAAAGTTTTCTATGTTTCATGTAGAGTACCAGCTCTAAAAATTTTTTTTCCAAACAAGGTATCTTCAGATATGCTGGATTAAAACTCTCACCATCTCTGATCTGTAGGACCGTGATTGAGATAATACAAGCTTATCATTTCAGCTTACATTTTACCCTACTTGATGCTTAGCTAATATATTAGATCATTGTTTCTCAACTCAGCAACTTTAAGATACAAGAATTTCAACTCCCAGAATTCCCTAGCCAGCCAGGCTGCCTGGGGAATTCTGGAGGGTTGAAGTCCATGCATCTTAATGGCTGAGGTTGAGAAACAATGTTCTAATATATTCGGCGAGCACCAAGAAGAAGAAAATGTAAGCTCAAATGACTAGGCTTTAAAATCCTTAAATGTGAAATCTAAAATACATAATCGTTGGTGGGCTATGTAGCTTCTTTGGAATAACATTGCATGCAAATGTATTCATGCTGTGCCAAAATTCACCTTGCACTTTCTCAGTTTTATTTTTCTGCTGAAGGAATACTTTGAGAGTTTGCTTTTTAACATTATGAAGTGATGGTTTGGTACGGACTTGACCAGAAGATGGAGTCAGCTGGGTTTTTTTATTGTTGATTGATTGATTAAATATATTTCTATGCCACTGCCACTGAAAGCAATTCTCAGCGACTCCTTAAATTAACTATTGTGCTTCCAGCTGTTCCCCTTCCTGTGCATTAACCTCTTTCCTTGTCGTCCCCCCCCGCTTAAATTATTCTGTAAAGAAACTAATTAGGAAGTTGGCACACTACAGATCAAAGCAGCGGTCTCTTAACATCTCAGATTTCTTTACAGGGAAGTTTTTGAAGGGCAAAAATGACCTGCTAACGTGAATGGAAACATTGTGGGGAAATGGTGTTCCCGTTGGGCAGCCATTTTGTTCCCAGGCAGCCATTTTGCCTTTCAAAAGCAACGATTGTATCCCTGATGTTGAAACCTGCCTTTCGCTACTCTTGTAACAGGCAAATGGTTGCCAGTTTGTTTCCGGGTCCATTTCAAGTTGGCGGTGTCAACTTTTGAAGCCCTATGTGATTTTATTAAGGCCCTTGGGATGGTTATAAGTGTGAGGGCTGGCCATAAGAAGGGTGTTTTTTTTTCTGGTGCTCTTGTAAATTTGAACGATCCCTAAACAAATGATTGTAAGTCAGGGACCACACACATAAGAATCTGGAAGACTCTGCAAGTCTTGAATTATATGATGAGATATATATTGACAAAGTTTAAAACAGAGGGTTCCCCAAACTTGGCAACTTTAAGACTTGTGGACTTCAAATCCCAGAATTCTCCAGCCAGAGAATTCTGGGATTTGAAGTCCACAAGTCTTAAAGTTGCCAAGTTTGGGGACCCCTGGTTTAGAAGAAGATGTAATTTAAAAAGTATTAGATTGTGCAGAAATGGACAGATTGACAAAAAAGATAAATGAAAAAAAGAAGGTATAGAGTATTTTCGAACATGGGACTTGTTTTATCAATGGTTGGATAATAGAGGTAGAAATTACGGGCTGGAAAAGTATAATTAAGCAAATTGACTCAGGCTGTTCACAAAGCACTTGTGTATGTTAAATGAAAATGTATAAATAAACTGTTAACAAAAAGTAAAGACAAGCAACATGTTACTCTAGATACTAGAATGCCTTTTGGAACTGGTTTCTTGCCCTTTGAAATTGTTTAGATTCTTCGAATAATAAATAAATAAATGAGTAGTTGGCCTGCTGCCAAAAATAGAACCAACCTTATTTATAATAGCGTATTTAATCTATTTGAGGAGTGATTATTAAAACTTATTATTATATTCATTATATTAATATTATTAGCCACCCAGACATGGGGTGGGCAATCATAGAAATTCTTTAAATAATTTGATAATTAATTTAAAAAAAAAAGAATCTGAAAGACTCAGGAAGTTTTGGTGATAAGATATATGTTGAGGAGACTGATAAACTTTAGAGATCTCTCTGGCTAAATTATATTGTACACTAAAACCTGAAAAATAGTTAAAATGGCGATTCTTCCCATCCCATTCTTTTAAAGTTAAGTTTGACTGTCCTTGAACTTCAATCTTGGATGAATGAAGGAAACATCTGAAGGTTCAATCTTATCATTTTTTTAAAATGTATGTCTTCCCCCTTTTTAAGGTAACCTCTCAAACAAGGGGGAAAATGTCTTCCAAAGATAGTTGTGGGAAACGCCATCATCCTGTGGCCAGCCTTTGCAGGAAGCTCCAAGCTATCAACATGATGGACCAAACTTCGAATCCTGCCTTGCAGATTCCAAAATTCCAGTCAAAAAACTTTGACAGTCCACAGAGTAACACAAAGAAGAACCTGGAAGAAATCTTGAAGAAACGGACACTAAAAAGCAACAGTTCCCTGGACACCAACCTCCTTCTGCTAAGTCCTTCCAGTGACAACATCTTCTCTCCGACCCCTAGTATGGTGCAAACACCACGTCATCGACGTATTTCTGATATTCGTTCCGAGTCCTTTTCTCTGGGTGGGAATAAAGACAAGCTCAACAAATCATGGGTTTTTGTAAATCAGAGAGGGAATGGTTCACCCCATCTCATTAAGCATGGAGAGTCAACCTCTGATTATCTTTGTAGCAACAGTAATATCGAACCAAAGGTCACATCATCTTTGGAATGCAGCTATTTCACATCGAGTCCTGATTTACCTATCCAGGGACCAACATCCGTACAGCCCTCTTTTCCTTCACCACCACCCAAAAGATTCTCCTTCGGTAAGGACTGAAGGAAAACCACACAGGCTACTTTTGTATTATTTGTATTATTGTATGTATTTGTATTGTTCTGATACCTCAAGGGTTGCCACAAAGAAGAGGGAGCCAAGCTATTTTCCAAAGCACCCGAAGGCAGGACAAGAAGCAATGGATGGAAACTAATCAAGGAGAGAAGCAACCTAGAACTAAGGAGAAATTTCCTGATAGTTAGAACAATTAATCAGTGGAACAGCTTGCCTCCAGAGGATGCGAATGCTGCAACATTGGAAGTTTTAAGAAGAGATTGGGCAAGAAGAGGGTACAGGGTTTCCTGTCTAAGCAGGGGGTTGGACTAGAAGACCTCCAAGGCCCTTCTCTTCCACTCCACTCCTTCTGGTTTTGCTTTTTATGATGTATCCTGCTTTTTTATAGTATTATTTTGGCTAGTTTATGGAAACTAACAATGAGAAGGCAGTCCCATAAACACAAAATGGTTTTTCAACCTGATTGCAGATGTAATAAATGTACAAGCTGAACAGAAGGAAGGAAAAGATAGGCTTGGGAAGAGTTGAATTTGAAGTTCAAAGTTCAAAACATTTAATCTAGATATACGGCATAAAAAAAGTGAGCAGGAAAACCAGTTAAAAGCAATTATCTTAGTTACATGTGGAAAAACAAACCAACTTCCAATATTCTTTGTCTTCATAGGATGGAAACGGGCAATGGACAACAGAGACAATGAAGACTCTGACACAAGCCTGATTTGTGAAGAAGACCTATTGACTACCATGTTTTCTGCATGTGATGTGGAAAGAAGAGGTAATGTAACAGTTGAAAAGTTCCAAAATGAATTTGGGAGGCTACTTAAACAGGTAGTCCTCAATTTATGACCATTCAGACTTACAACAGACCTCTCCAGGATTATCTTTTGTTGAAAATTGTCAGCATAGTTTACAGTTAAAAGTCAAGGATTGACATTAGCAGTCAGAATGCTAATTGTCTACTCATAATTTAAAACAATCTACCCCTGTGAAGGTGAACCTATGACACACATGCTGGAAGTGAGCCATTTCTGCTGGCACGTGAGCTGGTGCCTGAAACAGATCCACTGCGCATGCGCCTCCCCGTCAGCCAGCTGATTTTCGGGTATCTGCTGCACATGCACAGGGGGCGGGGCGCATGCAGGGTGCGCATGCGCAGGAGGGTGGGGGGAGTTGTGCACGCATTGTATTATCAGTGTAGGCACACGCACGCATACATGCACGTGCATGCACGCACTTTTGGCACGTGACAACGAAAAGGTTAGCCGTCACTGATCTACACCAAAATGATGAACATCATTTGAGCACGAACCTCTGTGTTAATTTTCACTGTTATGTTTAGGCAAAGTTGCCGTTTCTAAATTAGTTGATTTCCTGAGGAACACGACAAGTCGGAGTTCAGAAGACAGCGGCCTTGAAGATTTATGCAACATGCTTGATCCTGATCATAGGGACATCTCCATGGACTTGGAGACCTACCACGCCATCATGAAAGAATGGATTGAAGATTGCAAAAGAAACTGGTACCTGCCTATTATCTCTCTTTTTGTAATGCAAGGCATGATAACCCCATATATTGATCTTAACTCCATTGAATAACCCTTTACATAAATTAAAAACACCCTCCTAGAGTTCTTTGAATCCTTAATGAATTCCATATCTAGTAGTTCTCCATTGAAAATAATAATTTATTCCTGCTCTTTGCTTTCTGATTTTAACTACCATAGTTAGCAAACCTCTACAAAGCTGATCCTTTTATCCCATAGTGACTAAATATAGAATTATTTATAGAATAGAACTCTTTATTGGCCAAGTGTGATTGGACACACGAGAAATTTGTCTTGGTGCAAATGCTCTCAGTGTACATAAAAGAAAAGATACATTCATCAAGAGTTAAGAAACATCAGGTGCAACACTTAATAATAGTCATAGGGTACAATAAGCAATCAAATCATACTAGGAAACTAAATTTAAACAATATCAATCATAAAGATACAAGCAACAAGAAATTATAGTCATAAGTGGGAGGAGATAGGTAATAGGAAGGATGAGAAGAATAATAGCAATACAGTCTTAGTAAATAGTTTGACAGTGTTGTGGGAATTAATGGTTTAGCAGATTGATGGCATTCGGGGAAAAACAATTGTGTCTAGTAGTTCTGGTGTGTATAAGAGTCTTTGATAAGAAGTTAGGATGGATAATATCATGCCATATAATTATATAGGTTAAGAAACTGAAAACAGGTTACAAATCATGAGAAAGAAAAAGTTTTTTCAGTACACTGTACTAAAAATGCAAAAAATGTTTAATATCATGGATTAGAGCCATTTCTGTTATCTTGTATTCAGATACCTGGAATTATACAAAAAAACAAAACCTTTTGTTTTTCAGGAATGAGCAACCCACCAAAGAGGCAACCCCTGAAAATAATTTCTCAGGTATTTCTTTATCAGATTTATTGAACTGCATTCAGAATTAATAACAATACAAATGTATTAGAGTAATATTTAAGGTATTATGGAAAGTTAAATTTTATGCATGAGTATAACATGCATAAAAAGTGCTAAAAGTTAAGCCCTGTGCCTGCAGTCCAATAGGAATAATCTCATTATTGTTTTCAAACTATCAATGATTATGTAAACCACCAGCTGCAGAGTTCCTCATTATCAATAAGAGAGTTATCTTCCCTCCATTATAGCCTAAAGTTGTGAAAAAGATTTAAGTCTCTCTCTCTCTACATACACACACACACACACATACACACACACACACATACACAGAGAGAGAGAGGGGGGGGGAGAAATAGGTTGTTTGAAAGCGAAAAAAAAGTCTTGAAATGTTAATACACTTCTTTCATCGCAACAAATCTAGCTAAAGAGAACTCTGAAGCTGTTTAGAAGGGAAGAAGCTGTGCTAAATAATTGACTGAATTATTTGCATGAGTAGGTGAATTATTTTCTGGGCTGGTGAACACATTTGCAAACTTGGTTTTAGCTAATAAGTTGGTGGTTTGTTCTGCAACAGGCTAGCTTTCTGTTTTTTGTTGAATATTTTAAAAAAAGTTGAAATGTTACATGGGAATAAGGAACCAGATCATACCAAGAGAGTTGTCGGGAGGCAGATCAGTCCTGGATTAGGAGAACTTAGGGGTTTATTAGCTTCCTTTGTTCCTTCCAATGGTATCTCTTATCCATGTCCTGTTAAACTCGATTATCATTGCTAAGATAGCAATGAGCCGTGGTGGCACAGTGGTTAGAATGCAGTACTGCAGGCTACTTCTGCTGATTGCTGGCTGCAGTTCGACAGTTCGATTCTGACTGCTGAAGGTTGACTCAGCCTTCCAGCCCTCAGGTTTGTTGGGGGCAGTATGCTGACTCTGTAAACCGCTAGAGAGGACTGTAAAGCACTGTGAAACAGTACATAAGTCTAAGTGCTATGGCTCGTTCTAAGATTGTGAATGAGTCATTTTGCTTTTTTCAAATGCTAAATTAGGGCATTTGAGGACAGTCATAAAAGTGAAAGTGCAATATCAGTCATGCAGAGGCAACCATTGTGCTTAAAATCCTTTATGGAATGGAAAGTTGGTTTCTTTCTTGCCTCACCAGTGAAAACTTCTTTTTGCAGCAAAAAGATTGAACATCACTTCCGGAAGCCTAGAAGCACTTGGCGGTGATATATCAAGAGGAGATTTGTGAGTCCTGTTTTAGTCGACAGGTTCAGAAATGGGAAACGGAAGAAACTGGAACCAAGATCAGAGATATTAATTGGGCAGGAATAATGGGTACACAGAGTCTTTTAAATGACTGAAGGATGTGATGACATTTTACCATCCGAATGGCTGCCACACAGAAAGTTAAACTTGCTCTGTGTTATCCCAAGGGAGCAGGATATAGAGCAGGGGTGTCCAACCTTGGCAACTTTAAGACTGAGGAATTCTGGGAGTTGAAGTCCACAAGTCTTAAAGTTGCCAAGGTTGGACACCCCTGATATAGAGCAAAGGGTGTATGAATTGAATGCTGGGAAAATAGTACCTTAATAGTAAGATCAGTTAAACAATGCAACCACCAAAAATGCAGAGAGACAGTGAGTTTCTCTCTGTTGGTTGTACAAGTAGTCCTCGACTTGCGTCTGCAATTGAACCACAGCATTTCAGTTGCATAAGTGATACATTTGTTAAATGAGTTTTGCCCCATTGTACGGCCTTTCTTGCCACAGTTATTAAGTGAATCACTGTAGATGTTGAGTTAGTGACATGATTGTTAAATGAATCTGACTTCCCCATTGGCTGCTTGTTAGAAGGTCGCAAAAGGTGATCCCATGACCCTGGGAACACTGCAATCATCATAAATATGAATCCACTTCCAAGGGTCTGAATTTTGATCACGTGATTATTGGGCAAAACTCACTTCATCCCTGCCTGGCTTAGCAACAGAAATTTGGGGCTCAATTGTGGTTGGAAATTGAGGACTACCTGTTATTCGCAGTTAGCAATGTCCTCTCAAGGATAAGCTTTCAGAAATGAGGGAATCTGGATTATCAGTGGAGAGAAATAGCTGGATGTCTGATCACAGGTGGGTATTCAGAAGGTTCTGACCAGTTCTGGAGAACTGGTAGCGGAAATTTTAAGTAGTTCAGAGAACCAGAAAATACCACCTCTGACTGGCCCTGCCCCCATCTCTTCTCTGCCTCCCAAGTCCCAGCTGATCGGCTGGGTCTTCTTTTGTTGCCCAGCACAGGAGAATGGAGCTGGAAAGCAGGTTAGTGGGGTGGGGAGGGAATGGGGATTTTTGCAGTAACTTTCCGGCAGGAGTGGGGAGGGAATGGAGATTTTATAGTATCCCTCCCCTGCCATGCCCACCAAGCCAAGCCCACCAAGTCACGTCACGCCCACCAAGCCACACCCATAGAACCGGTAGTAAAAAAAAAATGTATCCCACCGTTGCTGTCTGATGCAGAAAAGTGCTCTCCCGTAGAGTTGTTCTTGGGTGATGGGACTTGGCCAGAAAAGGTACAGATGGGAAGGAATTTTCTTAGCATTAAACGCCCATCCTGCTGTTGGTCTCCTCCATTAAAAACATGGAGCAATTGAAGATAAAAATGAGGAGGTCCTCTTGTCTTTTTACCCTTCCAGAGAAACGTCCGACTTGATTACTTGCGTAGCTGATCTTCAGTTCAACAACCAGAAACTTCAAGAGGAAAATGACCAGTTGAAGCTGGCACTGGATACCATGGATGAGACCAATAATAGACTGATGGAAGACAGCGGGGAACTGCGGAATCAGATAAAAAGGTGCGATGCTTTTGAAAATAAGTGAAAGTTCTTTTGTGGGTTTAGCAAAATTTGTTGTCGCTCTAGATAAAAATGCCATAGTAGGGGTGTTTCTTTGGTTTGGGTTATAAATAAAATAAGATACAAAACAGGAAAGTAAATACGAAAATGGTGGGGAAGAAGAGGGGGAAGAGAAGTGAGGGAGGAGGATAAGAAAAAAAGAAAAGGAAACATTGATTTCGTCTTTGTTGCAGTAGAATAAGCCGTTAACATCAAATCACAACTTTTTGTTTTTTCATAATAATATTGAACAAGCCATTTCTATAAAGATCTATCAATCTAATCTATCAATCAAAATCAAAGTTTCATTCTTTTTCACTTCAAGCACAAAATTCAGAAGCAGTCTCCATGTGGAAATATAAGTACTTATGTTCTTTTCTTTAATTAAAATAGTCAATTTTGCCATTTCAGCCAACTTCTGCAACCATTCGTCCATAGTAGGAATCGCAGCCATAGTATTGCAATAAATTATTCTAAAACACTGCATTTTTAGAGAACTTAGTACCATAGGAATTTCTTTCTGAGCTTTATTAGATCTATCTTTTTGTTTGAAGTCATTGCACACATTAATGTCACCTATGGAGAAAAATCTAATAATTAAAAATGCAAATAAGATGGTGAATTGTACTTCAAAATATGGAACCGTGGCACTTTATCTGAGAACGCTGACACTAATGAGTCTCTGGTTCTACTCGGGAATTAATTATTCCATGTAGATTCAAGAAATGTATTCAAGAAATGTGATCAATTTTGAAATGTCTTTGTTGTAAAATTGAGAAGATAGAGAAATATGTTTCTGACTGCCTGAGGAATACGGGGAATTGAAGTCCACACATCTTCAAGATGCCAAGGTTGAGAAAGACCAATATATACTGTTTTAAGGGGCGCGGTGGCTCAGTGGCTGAAACACTGAGCTTGTCGATCAGAAAGGTAGAAAGTTCAATGGTTCGAATCCCTAGTGCCGTGTAATGGAGTGAGCTCCCATTACTTGTCCCAACTTTTGCCAACCTAGCAGTTCGAAAGCATGTAAAAATGCAAGTAGAAAAATAGGGACCACTTTGGTGGGAAGGTAATAGTGTTCCATGAGCCTTCAGCATTTAGTCATGCCAGCCACATGATCACGGAGACATCTTTGGACAGTGCTGGCTCTCCGGCTTTGTAACGGGGATGAGTATCAGCCCCTAGAGCCAGAAAATGACTAGCACAAATGTGCGAGGGGAACCTTTACCTTTACCTTAAACTGTTTTAATGTTTAGTTAATTTCAATCATTATATCTAGATTTTGTTTATTGTATGCCACTGTTATCATTTTTATTTTAGTTTTATTGAGTTTCACTGCAGCTATATTAAAATATATATTTATTTACATCTCATATTTATATCTATCCCCAGAATGTGATCCTGGTGCATACAATAATAAAACACACAAAAATATCTACAAAGAAACATTGAAAAAAAATTGGATAGGTTTCCTTGTCTATCGCAAATGTTTGTTTGTTTGTTTGTTTGTTTGTTTGTTTGGCTTTCTAGCTTCCAGCAGTCTGCAAGTCAAGTGAAAACATTAAAAGAGGAATTGGAAGAAGTGAAGAACATTCTGGGTACCTCTGAAGAAAAGAAGCAGTTGATGGCAATCCAGAATAAACAGCTTGTGAGTTGATGTTTGTATGCAAGCAGTGGTGGGCTTCAGCCAGTTCACTCCCGTTCAGGAGAACTAGTTGTTAACTTTCTGAGCTGGTTGTTGGAAGAAATCATTAAGGCAAGAGAACCAGTTGTTAAATTGTTTGAATCCCACCACTGTATAATGCAGGAGTCTAACTTTGGCCATCTGTTACAATCCAAGTTGTGTTGCATTGTGTTGGTACACGGAGCAAGTGCCAAATGTAAGTCAACACACTGTCAGGGCTCCAACATTCACCCCCATTCAAATCATAAGTCTCTAGCCGCATCTCCCCGGGTAAAAAAAATTGATTTATTAGGAGTGACCATGTCGGCATTACCTGGGTGCAGCTAACTCTTAAGACACACCATTCATTTCACCCTTGACCCTGGTCTTCGCCACCACCTCAGGTTCCTGATAAACATCTGATTGCTTTTCTTCTCCACTTTCTTTTCATAATTAGGAAAAGGAGAATCAGTCCCTTGTTCTTAAGATTTCTTCTCTTCAAGAGGAGGTAAGAATGGGTGTGAATACTCTTTGAATCATAGGGTGATAATTTTGTTATTGCTGTGCAGTATATACAGGTAGTCCTTGACTACAGCCACAATTAACCCACAATTTCCATTGTTAAGCAAGACAATTGTCAAGTGAGTTTTCCCCTGTTTTATGGCCATTCTTGCCATCATCGTTAAACAAGTCATCAAATTAGTAAACCAGTTGTTAAATTAATCTGGCTTCCCCATTGACTTTCTTTGTCAGAAGGTCACAAAAGGTGATCACGTGACCCCAGGGTACTGCAACCGTCATAAAATACACGACGGTTGCCAAACATCCAAATTTTGATCATGTGACCACAGGGATGCTGCAGTGGTTGTAAGTGTCAAAAATAGTCATAAGTCACTTTTTTCAGTGCCTGTGTAACTTTGGATGGTCATTAAACAAACAGCTGGAAGTTGAGGACAACTGTAACAGCCCGACAGAGATGGCATTTCAATATTCTCCACCAGATTTATGGGCAGAACAATTAAATGGATAATTTATTTTATTTATTTATTTATTTGATTTGCCAATTGTTTACAAGATAATAAGTATAAATGTATACATAGTTGTGAATACATGAAATGGGTACATATAAGAAAAATAAAAGAATAGGAGAAACAATAGGACAGGGACGGTAGGCACGTTGGTGCGCTTATGCACGCCCCCTACAGACCTCTTAGGAAAGGGGTGAGGTCAATAGTAGACAGTCTAAGGTTAAAGTTTTTGGGGTTTGGGGAAGAAACTACAGAGTCGGGTAGAGTATTCCAGACATTGACCACTCTATTGCTGAAGTCGTATTTCCTGCAATCAAGTTTGGTGCGGTTTACTTTGAGTTTGTATCTATTGTGTGCTCTTGTGTTGTTATGGTTGAAGCTGAAGTATTCATTGACAGGTAGGACATTGCAATGTATGATTTTATATACCATGCTTAAGTCAGACCGAAGACGGCGTAATTCAAGGTTTTCAAGTTCTAGAATTTCAAGTCTGGTGGCATAAGGTATTCTACAACGAGTAGAGGAGTGGAGAACTCTTCTTGTGAAATATTTCTGGACTTTCTCAATTGTGCTAATATCAGATACGTAGTGTGGGTTCCAGACTGATGAACTGTATTCGAGTATTGGTCTAGCAAATGTTTTGTATGCTCTGGTTAGTAGTGTGATATTACCAGAGAAAAAGCTACGTAGGATTAGGTTAACAACTCTTAATGCCTTTTTGGCTATGTAGTTGCAGTGGGCTCTAGCACTTAGATCATTAGAGGTGAGTATTCCAAGGTCCTTTACAGAGCTTGAGTCATCAACAAGATCTTGACTATTCAGCTTGTATTTTATTTTCTGATTTTTTTTGCCAATATGTAAGACAGAGCATTTATTTGTTGAGATTTGAAGTTGCCATTTGTTTGACCACTCTGATACATAGTCAAGATCTTTTTGTAGGGTAGCAGTATTGTCTGTGGTATTGTATTGTCTGTGGTATTGCCCCAAATTTCCCCCAAATTTCTGCAGAGGGTGAAGAAATTCCTCAAGAATTTATCAAGGGCGGAATTTGCTATACTGGTGTCATCCTATCACTGGTGTTCTTGAGTTCATTCGATTGTTGGAGGTGGCAGCGTAATTGATGTTGTGTGCATGCTTTTTTTAAATAAGACATTTCAATCACCCCTCCTTGGTGCCCACACTTCCCAGCCAGAAGAAGATTCATGACAGGAATTTAAAAATGAGGTTTTTGCTTTGGGATGGAATGAAACCGTGGGAAGCCAGGAAAACCTGCAGAATACTAGAGAGATTGTTATATAATGGAAGATAGACCATTCAGACATACCTCTTGAGCTTCTGGATTCTACATAGGTGTAAGGAAACCATATAAGAATTTGTCCCCAAATACCTTCTTTTATGGAAGAATTTCTAGAAAGAGTGCAGAGAAGAGGAACAAAGATGATGAGGGGACTGGAGGATAAAACATAAAGAAACAGTTGCTAGAATTGGGTATGTCTAATTTAATGAAAAGAAGGACTAGGGCTGACATGATAGGAGTGTTCCAATATTTGAGGGGCTGCCACAAACAAGAGGGGGTCAACCTATTCCCCAAAGCAGTGGTCACCAACCAGTGGGCTGGGGACCACTGGTGGTCTGCAAAAAAATGTTGGTGGTCCACAGAGAAATGTCACCTCCAAAGCAATTAATCCAGGCTGTGCGGAAACACAAGGATGCGCCGCCCACATGGCCCAAAGGAACACAAGGCTTGTATCGCTTGCATTGCAAACAACATGAGGTAGTGAGGGGAGGGGGGAAAGGGCGGGGGAGAACTTGCCCCACTCGCCTCATGTGCCAGGCCTGGCCATCAGGCTGCTTCTTTCTGCTTCTGCTTTTGGCTGCATGCTAGGAAAACAGCAAAAGTCTTCCTTTCCCCCAAACTCTGCCAGAAATGAGTCTTTGGGACTGCAAAGCATCCTGCTCCAAGAGGCTGTGCCAGCAAAGACTAATTTCTGGCAGAATTTGGGCGAGAGAAAGAAAGACTTCTGCTGTTTCTGCTGCTTTTCTTGCATGAAGCCAAAAGTCTCTCTCTCTCTCTCTCCCTGAGAACCGAACTGGAGACAGTATCCTGTGATCCCAAATAAAGAATGATTGATTGGTAGGAAAACGGGGTGGGAAATTTTCCTGTGGGCTTTTTTGGGATTTTCCCAGGGTCTCTGGTCTGTGGGATTTAAAATTATGAACTTGGTGGTCCCTGAGGTCCAAAAGGTTGGTGACCCCTGCTCCAAAGCTGAGGGCAAGACAAGGAGCAATGGATGGAAACTAATCAAGGAGAGAACCAACCTAGAACTAAGGAGAAATTTCCCGACAGAACAATTAATCAATGGAACGGCTTGCCTCCAGAAGTTGTGGGTACTCCATCACTGGAGGTTTTAAAGGATATTGGACAACCATTTGTCTGGAAAAGGTATAGTGTCTCCTGCTTGAGTTGGATTAGAAGACCTCCAAGGTCCCTTCTAATTCTGTTATTCTGTTAAGGTATCTTTTTTCATCAGATGGATTCTTTCATCTGAGAATTACAGTAGTAGAAAAGGAAACCAGTAATAACAAATATGTCCTTTAAATCAGAACATTAGAAATGCTCTTGATTCAGATGGTCTCCAGAAGAAGATTGAGGAGCTGTCCCAGAATATTAATGAACTCCAAGTAAGTGACTTCTACATCTTGTTTCAGTGTGGGGTGGCAGAGATTCAGTTCAATGCTTCAGATATTTCCAAGTATCCTTAATCAAGATAATCAAGTCAATTATTTTCCAAAGACTTTTGAGTAATTCCTACTCTTGGATTTCCAGTTATGTTGCATTACAGAATCCAACATCCCTAATCACTGGTTACACTGGCTTGGAATGATCAGAGATTGTAGCCTTAACCAAAATCCACAGTTAAAACTGAAAGTGGATATGTGTTGTTTACATTTGTAAGTTGGTGGAGGAGCATCAGAGAACCTTTGAAAGGCACATGTAAACATGGGAGATTGTGATACTGTCTCCTCAATGTTAAATTATATTTTTAAGAGGAATTTGAGCTGAAACCTAAATAAACCTAGATTCTAAGCATTACATTTACATCTCACTTAGCAAATGTTCCAGATCTGAATTTCTGTCTTCATAACTTGAGATGTGTATGATGTAATTGAATCAAGAGATTATTATAACTTTCTTAAGTATAGTTAAAAAGAACTGTCTCCCTCAAATTCTTGGTCAGTTCTGAAATATTTAATTATGTTGGTGGTATCCTTGTTAAAATTCTTCAGCATTTCTGCACAAAATAGGCATCGGCATATAACATAATATAACCTATTTAGAGCACGTAAGATTTTGCGAAGCATTTTGGTGTGAGCATTGAAATGTTAATGTGTGTCTGTCTTCTGAAACACTTGACACTGATGCTTTGAAGGCTTTCCTCTGATTCCTCCAGCCAATTATTCATTTACACTCATTTTTCTGGTCCTTCAATTTACGCGCACAAACACTTCAGGCAGGAACAAGGATTTTTGTGTTCCCTTCTGCAGAAACAGGTGCTTAACAAAACGGACAAGATGGTGGTCGGGGTAGTGTGGTCTGTTCATTTTTAATGTAACGTACATAACCAGGCACAGAAGTTCACCAAGTAATTTTGGGTCAGTCCCCCTTTCTCTCAACCCAGAATCCAGAGAAGTACAGTTGCTTAATGATGGTCTTTGCTCTAGCAGTTCAAGTCCTAGCACTGCGCGGCAGGGTGAGCTCCCATCCCTTGCCTCAGCTTCTGCCCGCTTAGCAGTTCGAAAGCATATTTTATGCAAGTAGATAAATAGGTACCACTTGGGTGGAGAGACGAATCGGCACTTTGTGCAGACAGTTAGAATGCTGGTAGCGCTGAACCTTCCCAGTTGCAAGGCCCCTTTGTGAGGCGACTTCAGTAGAGGGAGAGGGCTTGGATGACAGTGCAGGAAAGCTGCTTGTTTTTCTTTTTGGTGTGGAACTAGCTCTCCCTCTTGTGGTGCACCTTGGGAAATACATGAGTGTGGATCAAACAGAGCTAGTAAACAGACAGGCAAATTGCAATTCTGCATTAACATTGTAGTTTCCTGGTTAATCGCCATACATTTAAAAAATTAGAAATCCAGAAGCCAGCAGGGTGTGGTTAGTGAAGATGCTGGACTACAAATGATATAAGTCCTAGATTTCCCTCACAAAAATGTTCTGGTGACTTTGGACCCCAGGCTAGGAAATGGAAAAAATTCTATCAACTCATACTGGACTAATAGATACAGTGGTTCATAACCTCCAGGGAGGTTATCATTTGATGCATTGATTAGAATTAATAAGAGCCAGAACAAATAACAAGGCAATTACTATCTTAGAAAAAAAAATATCCACAAAGTGAGGGAAAAGAGAAATAAAAGAATTTTAGTGTCGTTTCTTTCCTGCTAGGATGCAATTTCATGGTGGGTTTTTGTTTTTCTTTTCCCAGATGCAAACACACCTTTATGAAAGCACGGTGGGAAGTAAAGACACAGCACTCCTTCAGGTTCGTAGGTACTGAAGAATTTCTAGCCTGGTTTAATTTTCAAAAGGTTGGATGTGACTTTAACCGTGTCACTTAATGAAGACGTTTTAGGTCCCAACTGGCATAATTAAACAAGGACTACCTTATGGGATGAAGAGAAATATATTCTTATGGAAATGGTTTAGATATTGCTCTACAGCAGGGGTGTCAAACTCAAGGCCTGGGGGGGGTCGCTTCCAGCCTGCGATACAGTCGCATCCGGCCCATGGGGCCATCCTGGAGAATGTAAGGCGCCAGCCCGCATCACTTTGGCCTGGTCTACCAGTGTGAAGAGGAAACATCAGGCCAGCAGTTTGAGGAGTGATGTCAAGCTGGCCACAACCACCCAGTTGGCCACACCCACCCAGTGAGCCAAGGCCAGCCAGCCCCTCGCAGGCCAACCACAGCCCTGATACGGCCTTCAATGAAATTGAGTTTGACACCCCTCCTCTATGGGCTATTGACTGATGCTCGCTATGTATTCTAGCTGGTGGTGTAAAAACAGCTCTGTAAGAGTTTGGGATGAAGTCAGTTAGTACTGGATGGCCTGTACTGTTCTGGTTTTGCATACCAGACATTTGCAATGCAGATGTTGGTGGAATGCGATAGCTAATTGTTTTTATATTTATATAATATCCATTGCTGCTTAGAACAAATGAAAAGAGCATAAATCCTCAAATAATCAATGTACATAACACAACAGGAAATAAAAAAAAAACCACCTGAGAACATTGAAACAAAATCAACGTCTGAAATAAGAGGCTTTCAAACCACAACATATTAAACAAAAGGGCTGTGAAAATATTTACAGACCCCTCATATCCCGGACATGAACTGTTTCAACTCCTTCCCTCAAAACAACTCTATAGAGCATTGCACACCAGAACAACTAGAAACAAGGAGAGTTTTTTCCCCAACGCCATCACTCTGCTAAACAAATAATTCCCTCAACACTGTTCAACTATTACAAAGTCTGCACTACTGTTACTATTAACCTTCTCATCACTCCTTATCACCCATCCCCTCCCACTTGTGACTGTATGACTGTAACTTTGTCGCTTGTATCCTTATGATTTATATTGACTGTTTCCTAGTATGATTTGATTGCTTATTGTACCCTATGACTATTATTATTAAGTGTTGCACCTTATGATTCTTGACTCTTGATGAATGTATCTTTTCTTTTATGTACACTGAGAGCATTTGCACCAAGACAAATTCCTTATGTGTCCAATCACATTGGCCAATTAAAGAATTCTCTTCTCTTCTATTCTTAAAAACTATTACAGGTGGGCCTTGACTCATGACCACAATTGAGCCCAACATTTCCATTGCTAGGAAAGACAGTTGTTAAGTGAGTTTTCCCCATTATAGGATTCATAGTTGTTAAGTGAATCGTTGCAGTTGTTAAGTTAGCAACACGGTTATAAAGTGAATCTGGCTTCCCCCATTGACTTGCTTTGTTGGAGGGTCGCAAAAGTGAATCGCATGACTCCGGGACACGGCACTCGTCATAAATATGAGCCAGTTTCCAAGCGTCTGAATTTTGATCATGTGACCATGGGGATACTACAATGGTTGTGTGAAAAATGACCATAAGTCACTTTTTTGAGTGCCTTTGTTTGAATAATTACTAAACAAATGGAGAGAGAGAGGGGGGGAGGGGGAGAGAGAAAGAGAGAGAGAAAGAGAAAGAAAAGGAAGGAAGGAGAGAAAAAGAAAGAGAAAGAAAAGGAAGGTAGGAAAGGAAGAAAAGGAAGGAAGGAGAGAAAGAAAGAAAGGGAAGGAAGGAAGGAGAGAAAGAAAGAAAGAGAAAGGAGAGAGAGAGAGAGAAGGAATGAAGGAAGTGAAGGAAGGAAGAGAGAGAAGGGAAGGAAGGAGGGAAGGAAGGAAGGAAAATCCACATAGTCCTGGGACTTTGAAGTTGGTTTGTGTACTTGAGGCACAGAAATGGGAAAATTCATCCCTAGAAGTAAACTACTAACTAATTGGCAGCCATGCCTAGGACTATAGACCTACAACTTTGCATCTCACATGAACTATTTCTAAGAGGGCATTTAGATGGTGAACAGCTTTGGACTGAGGCGTGAGCTGACACAATGATCAGGGAATAGAAGTTAGGATGAAAAGAGAGAAAATTGAAAGGTTAACAGGAAGGGAAATGCTGTACCTGAAATAGCATGTGGCTAGGTAGAATTCTATACTATTTTTATCTTCTCCAGTCGTCCTTCTAGAGTTAGTTAGGCATTTATGCTTGGAGCCCAAATACAAATGGACAATTCACACACTGAAATATAATACAATCCAGACAGAGAAACGACCTAGGTTGTTGCAATGGATACCGGCAATCTACCTTCCGGTTTGGGGCTTGATCCCTGCAAAATGCATCAGATAGCTATGCAAACCTGGGCTTAGGACAGCCTGTATTTGTGTACAATTTTCTCCAAAATCCCTTTGTCGTCAAAGCCTCTGCTTTGCATAGATTTGTCTCCCCTTTCTTCCCAAACACCTGCAGCTATTTTGAATAGATGTAAAAATAAAATAAAACCAAGTAACCAAACATCATTAACCCTGCTTGTACCTATTTTACAATCCCGTTTTGCAACGATGAAGAATCATTCCATTTTTGCCTTAAGTGTACATCTCAACTGCACTCCAATCGCATCACATTTGTTTTGGCCTTTCCTATTCTCGTACTGAATATGGAGGCGATAAATCCTAGAGTAATCCTACTCAGAAGCAACGTAGATCTGATTATTGGACATTTAATGGTACAAAAAGGAGGAAGAATTGTCTCTTTACTCCTTGTTCACATGATTGCATTTCAAGGCACTGGCAACCAGCTCGTTTTACAACTAGTTGCAGCGTCACGTTACCACAACTTGTGATGGGTTTTTTTGCCAGCCCCCTTTTGGAAGACTAGATTTGCTTAATGACATGCCTCATTCACTTAACAACTGTCATGAAAACTGTTGAAAATCCCCAGTCATACGGGGTGTTTTAACTTATGACCTCAATGACTGAGGACCAGTGTTCTGGTCCCAACTTTGGTTGTAAGTTAAGGACTACCTGTAATTGTGGATAAGTGCCTAGGGAAAGGTTTTTAAACCCTCATCATTGCTTTGTAAGTACCATCCAGAGGTGGTATTCAGCAGATTCTGACCAGTTCTGGAGAACCAGTAGTGGAAATTTTGAGTAGTTCAGAATACCACCTCTGACTGGCCCCGCCCCCATCTCTTTTCTGCCTCCCGAGTCCCAGCTGATTGGCTGGATCTTCTTTTGTTGCCCTGCCCAGGAGAACGGAGCTGAAAAGCAGGTTAGTAGGGTGGGGAGGGAATGGGGATTTTGCAGTATCCTTCCCCTGCCACGCCCACCAAGCCACGCCCACCAAGCCACGCCACGCCCACAGAACCGGTAGTAAAAAAAATTTGAACCCACCACTCCTGAGATTCTGTACCATCCTGTCCTTTTTTGGCTAGTTGTGGATGAGAAATTGGTTCAGTTAGCATTTTAAGGCAAACAAACCCCAATATTGGGTAGTCCTCAACGTACAACCAGAATTGAGCCCCAAATTTCCATTGCTTAAGTGGTTAAGTGTGTTTTGCCCCATTTTACAACCATTCTTGCCACCGTTGTTAGATGAATCACTGCTCTTGTTCAGTTAGTAATATGGTTGTTAAGTGAATCTGGCTTCCCCCATTGATGTTGCTCGTCAGAAGGGCCCAAAAGGTGATCCCATGACCCTGGGAAACTGCAACCGTCATAAATATGAGTCAGTTGACACTGCAACCATCATAAATATGAGTCAGCTGAATTTTGATCATGTGATCAAGGGGATAAATGTGAAACATGGCCATAAGTCAGTTTTTCCAATGCCGTTGCAACTTTGAAAGGTCACTAAACAAACTGTTACAAGCCAGGGACTACCTTTAAATGGACCAGCTGTTAGTGTAGTTAGTCTTACTTTTAGTCTGAGTTTACACATTATGCTAAAGAGTCCTTCTTTGAGGGAGCTGTGTGGTTCAGAAAGGCGACATATAAATAAACAAGCCCTTGTGGGGCTTAATCATAGTTTAATAATCATAAATTTGTGGCTTGGGATATTAGGTAAAGCCAATTAGGGGTTTATTTATCAAAGGGTGGTTAGTTAAGGCACAACCTGGTGTGTAACTACTTCACTCTTCCTCTTCAATCATTGCAGAAGGAGATGGATATACAAGAACTAAAGTCTGCCCTGAAGGAATACACGTCGGTGATAGAGGTAATGGACTGCCATTTGTCGGAAATGGTGTAGGGCCGTGATAGCAAACCTGTGGCACCAGGGGTGGGATTCTACCAGTTTGCACCTATTCGCTAGAACCGGTTGTTAACATTCTAAGCAGTTCGGAGAACCGGTTGTTAGAAGAAATTACTGGCCTAATCCTGTAAGGAAGGCAGGAAGGAAACATTCTGGTGTTGCTTACAGAAACTGCCTCTCCATTAATCCTTATTACATTCTTGGCAGGACTAGACTTCCTCTCTCAGGAATGTCTCTGGAGTTTTTTTCCCCTCCTTTGCTGGTACTTTGCTTGTGTGGAGTGACCATTCAAAGTTACAATGGCACTGAAAAAAGTGACTTATGACCATTTTTCACACTTACGACTGTTGCAGCATCCCCACAGTCATGAGAGGCCAGGCGAGGAGATGCGTGCCTCGATGTGAGTGATATTGAGTTGGCCACGCCCAGCCAATAACATGACCACCAAGCCACGCCCACCCGGTCACATGACCACCAAGCCACACCCATGAACTAAGCCACACCCACAGAACCGGTTAAAAATTTTGAATCCCACCCCTGTGTGGCACGCCAGCCGTCACCCGTTGCTCTTCCAGGTTCCAACATGTGCATGTGCGCCGGCCAGATGGTCTTGGGGCAGAAACTGGAAGAGCCAGCTGGTCTTCTCACACGCATGCACATTAGAAAAGGGAAGACCAGGTGGCCGGTACACATTCGCATGCCGGGAAGCTGAGCTTTTGGTTTCTGGCGCTCCTGCACGGCACGCCGGGGGGCTGCTTTTCCAGTTTCTAGCGTTTTGGCACTCTGTGCCAGAAAGGTTCACCACCACTGGTGTAAGGTCTCCTGCTTGGGTGAGGGGTTGGACTAGATGACCTACAAGGTCCCTTCCAACTCTATTTATCTATCTACTGTTATGATACTTCTTTGGGAAAATATGAAGTAAGTCAGGGATTTCTTGTTTCTTGTTAATAGGGCCTGTTCTAAACTTTTTTTTTTAAACCCAACCATAGACTCTGCGTGTAGAGAAAAACAAATTGTTGAACAACGTTCAGCAGATGCAGCAAGAACTGATCTCGTGAGTATTCTGGGAAGCCAAGAGAAAAAGATGCAGATTGGGATGGTGGTTTCTGAAAGCCAGATGTTTTAACTCTTTAAATGTCCATATATATACCATGTGGTCAGAGTTAGTTTTTGAGGAGGAAAATAAGGAAAAAAACATTCTGCCTCTGCCTACCAGCATCCATCGGTATTCATCTGGCTCGCGTCCTGTCAGTGTGTGAGAAAGTTGAGGGCTGTTTGGAAACTGAAGCAGTATTGGCTGTGGGAGCAAGAAGGAGATAGCAAGGAGCCTGGGCGTGGCTTAGCTCAACTGTTCTGTACTAAAGCTGGTTGCTGCTGTGAAACTAAAACTGGAACTGAAACTCCTCTCCTCTGCTTGTGTTTTGCATTTGGAACAGATTTCTTTTCAGGTGGGGAGGGGGAATAGAACTCTTTAGCATCAAAGTGTGTTAATAATAACAATATAGGAAATACTAATGCTCTGATGGTCATTTTGAAAAATCCTTTGTTAGTGATCACCTACAAGCCAAGAGGAACATATATGCCAAATTTCAAGTTTGAAGGCTTTACAGTTCTGGAGATTTTGTGATGATGCATGAGTGGTATTTCATTTTTATATAGAGAGATAATAATAATATATATTTTGCTAGGAATGGTATCAACTTCCCTTTAATCTACAAGTTCAACAGCAGCTTCCTTGAAGCAACGAATTCATTGCACTGTGAACTGGAGCTGGCCCAGGAAGCATCAGAGGTGAGAAATGTCTTTCAAAAATGAGATTAAATGATCAAAAACTCTTAGGAGCACTTATGTGAGCAATTTTAACTCCCATTGCTAATCCAGATGTGGGATCCCTAAGGGGAAGGAAAGAATCTTGATTTATACTTCTGCATAGTACCGGTAGTCCTTGACTTAACAACCGTTCATTTAGGGACTGTTCAAACTTACAACGGCACTGGAAAAAGTGACTTATGACCGTTTTTCACTCTTACAACCGTTTCATTCATCCCCAAGATCACATGATCAAAATTCAGATGCTTGGCAAGTGACCCATATTTATGATATTTACAGTGTCCCAAGGTCATGCAATCAGTTTTTGTGACTTCTGACCAAGTCAACGGGGAAGCCAGATTCACAACTTCACAACCGGGTCACTAACTTAACAATTGCAGTGATTCGCTTAACGATTGTGTCAAGAAAGGACATAAAATGGGGCAATGTTCACTTAATGACTGTCTCGCTTAGCAACATAAATTTTGGGTTCAGTTGTGGTAAATTGAGGGTTATCTTTATTTATCACACTGTTAGATCTTTGGAGCGTTCATAACATCCGAGATACATTAGGAATAACGCAAGAAACAAGTTTGAGGAAAGTTTCTTTTGAAGAGCATAAATAGCTTCTAAGATTTTTTCCCACTTTTTCAGCTTAACTGAAAAGCAAATGTTCAGTGTAGTGTATAGCAGAGGTGGTATTCAGCAGGTTCTGACAAGTTCTGGAGAACCGGTAGCAGAAATTTTGAGTAGTTCGGAGAACCGGCAAATACCACCTCTGACTGGCCACGTCCCCCTCTATTCTCTGCCTCCCGATTCCCAGCTGATTGGCTGGGTCTTCTTTTGTTGCCCTGTACAGGAGAATGGAGCTGGAAAGCAGGTTAGTGGGGTGGGGAGGGAATGGGGATTTTACAGTATTCTTCTCCTGCCATGCCCACCAAGCCATGCCCATAGAACCGGTAGTAAAAAAAATTGAATTCTACCACTGGTGTATAGGCCACGTGTTCCAGCTCAGGAGTATAATGTGACTTTTTCAAATTACTTTTCCTCATTAAGATCCCTGGAATTGAGTGGACTGCACTTGATGAATCCCTGGACAGAGAAGTTTTACTGCTTCTTGAAGGGCCAGAGCGAGTAGGAGAAAAGTTCAAGGCCACCATTTTAAACCTGGTAATGGAACATTGTGGATGTGGAGAATGAGAAAAAGCAGACTTGAAAACACTTGGTCTAAATTTTTGCTAAACCCAACAAGATTTTTGTGCTGCCTTTCCTCCCATTTGGGTAATACAACATCTAAGTTCTTCTCACTTATTAATACTGCTAGTTGTATCCAGAGTATAAAAGAAAATATAGCATATGAATGCTATAAAAGTTCAAGCCATTCCATTTCATTTGATCCATTTCATTCCAGCCATCCCATCCCTTCGTTCTATTCTATTCTATTCTATTCTATTCTATTCTATTCTATTCTATTCTATTCTATTC